GGAACCTTCGGCCGAATTCCTATGGGGCCACGAAACGTGCGAGGGGTGAGCCGACATGAATGGCGGGGGCGCATGCGGGCTGTGCCACGTGAGCCTTCGACGGAGCTCCTATGGAGCCACGAGGCGTGTGACGGGTCGGCCGAAATGAGTGGCGGGGACGCGTGCGGACTGTGCCACTGGAGCCTTCGGCGGAGTTCCTACGGGGCCACGAAGTGCTGGCTTCGGTGGCGCTCCCCGCGGAGCCGCGAAACGCTGTGCGGGGGGGGGGAGACGCATGCCAGCCGCGCCATTGGGACCTTTGGTGGAGCTCCCTATGGGGCAACGAAGCGTGTGATGATGTTGATATGATGATGACGACGATGATGACGATGATGATGAATATGATGAGGGGAGGAGGGAGGAGGGAGGTCCAGAGCAACGCCTGCGCTTCGAGCCCTGCCCGCAGGTCCGGAGAAGCGCCTGCGCTTCGAGCCCTACCCGCCTGGAGGTCTCGACGGCGAAAGCCGTCGACATGGGGCCGGGGTAGCGCCTGTGTTCGCGCTATTCCGCGGCCGCTGCGGCCGCGCCGTCGCGGACAGAGCGGCTCTGGCCCGCCGCGGTGGGGGCGCCAAGCGCCGCGTTCATGACCGCGACGTCGGCTTGCGCCAGGCCGGCTGTCGGGATGGTGAAAGCCGTGTCGATCCGCGCGGCCTCGGCGGTGCCATCGAACCCGGCCCTGTCCCAAACGGGGAGTCCTGGTCGCTCGCCACCCCGGTGGCACCTCGGGCGCGCAGCCAGCCCGGGAGCCAATCTCGCACGCTGCTGTGGCGCGCGATGGCCCCGCCGCCCACGTGGCAGTCGACCGCGTGGCCCGGGTTGGCTACCAAGTCCGCCCCGCACTTCGCGCCGTTGGGCCGGCAGCGGATGCAGACGGCGCTGGCGGCGTCCGGCAGAGGCAACCGCAAGCGGAGGGCGAGCGCCGGCTGGAAGTGCGCGTCGGCGAGGCAGTGGTCTGTTTGCGTCGGTGGCAGTAGCTACCTGCCGGCGCCTTTCCCGCCTGCTGGGCGCAGCACCGCGGCCTGGTCTGGCGGCAGGGTGTGCAGCAGCCGCTACCTGCGAGCCTGCTGCCCCGCTGGCGAAAGGGTGCGCTGCGCCTTCTGCGCGGGCCCCGCCGCGGCCGCGAGCCAAGGGAAAGCGCCCTGCTGCAGTGCTCGGCCTGCCCCCTCCGCGGCAGCCCACGCTCCGAGGCAGGCCTGCGTGAAAGCCTCCAGGCTGGTCAGCCCCAGCTCATCGCAAACGCAGACAGGCACGCGTGCCACGCCCCTGCGAAGGCCGGCAACCAGCGGTCGGCGAGTCCCTGCAGCCTAAGCCCGCCCTCTGTCTCCTCCTCCTTCCTCCTCCTCCTCCTCCTTTTCTGCCTCCTCCTCCTCCTTCTCCTTCTCCTTCTCCTTCTCCTTCTCCTTCTCCTTCTCCTTCTCCTTTTCCTTTTCCCCCTCCCCTCTCCCCCTCCCCCTCCCCTCCCCCCCCCTCCTCCCCCTCCTCCTCCTCCCCCCTCCTCCCTCTCCTCCTCCTCCTCCTCCTCCTCCTCCTCCTCCTCCTCCTCCTCCTCCTCCTCCTCCTCCTCCTCCTCCTCCTCCTCCTCCTCCTCCTCCTCCTCCTCCTCCTCCTCCTCCTCCTCCTCCTCCTCCTCCTCCCTCCTCCTCCTCCTCCTCCTCCATACTCCTCCTCCTCCTCCTCCTCTCCTCCACCTCCTCCTCCTCCCTCCTCCTCCTCCTCCTCCTCCTCCTCCTCCTCCTCCTCCTCCTCCTCCTCCCTCCTCCTCCTCCTCCCCTCCTCCTCCTCCTCCTCCTCCTCCTCCTCCTCCTCCTCCTCCCCGCCCTCCTCCTCCTCCTCCTCCTCCTCCTCCTCCTCCTCCTCCCTCCTTCCTCACTTAGCGGCCTGGTCCTCTGACAGGGGCCGCGTGGCTCCCATCGGCCACTCAGACAAGCAGGGTCATCAGCTCGTCGTTGTCGTTGTCGACGTGGTGGTGGTCGTCGTCGTTCTTCTAGGTCGGCGGCACCGGCCAGAAAACCTTTACAATACTAAACCACAAAGGACAAATGCATATCAAATCCCCGACGTTCCCGACACTACCGCTACAGGGAAATGGAACGACCTCCCGTAACAGACATTACGGGGTCACTGAATAAAGCTATCATCTAAAGTCTCAAGATAAGCCCCAACTGTTCCTGCATCGTGACGTACGGCGACGTGGGCATCAGCGAGGATGATACATGGGATGCGGGTGATAGGGAAGAGGAGGAGGAGGAATGAGAAACGAGAAAGTGGACCAGGAAACAAGACGCAAGGAAAGTCTGGAGGCCCGTTGCCGAGGTTGTCACGCCTGGGGGCTGTTGCCGAAACCCAGGGACTGAAACTAGATACCGAAATCTGGAACCTATTCTGAGCAATTTCTTAGGGTGAAGGCCCAAGGTGAAACCCTCATGGGCTTTTGCACCTCGATTATCAATCCGTTTTGTGATTCGCCTTTTGCAGATTCAAATCTCGAAAAGCAATCGAAACGGTATTTCAGATTTCACCCTTTGCCCTCCGCCCAAACATCGTGCTCGGCTATTACCGAACTCTGGGGCCTGCTACCGGAGCCTGGCAACTGCTACCGAAATCCGCGCTCCCTTACCGAAATCCACGCTCCGCTACCGAAACCCGCCAACCCCGAAACAGAACTTAGCATATTGGGGGGTTGCGACGACGACGACGACGTGCTGAGATTGTTGACGTTTCAACCGGGGAGCGTGAAACCTGCCACTGACATGCGGGCTCGGACCCAAGACACGAATGTGCGAAACAACTTGTAGAATGCAGTTCGGGTTTCAACACAAACGCAAATCTCTTGCACTGGGTGATAAGGAGGTTGTGTGGGGGGGGAAGAGGGGGGGAACCAACATCTGACTCAATCGATCTCACTATCGATCTCACTCAACGGGACACCACGGGACACCACGGGGTTTTAGTCGATCTCACCATCGATCTCACTCGACGGGACACCACGGGACACAACGGGCCACCACGGGCCACCACGGGACACCGCGGGACACCCCTCGATCTCACTATCGGTCTCACTATCGATCCCACTATCGATCTCACTCAAGGGGACACCACGGGGCACCTGTCGATCTCACTATTGATCTCACTTTTTGGGACACCACGGGACACCGCGGGGCACCACATCGATCTCAACATCGATCTCAGTATCGATCTCACTCAACGGGACACCTCGGGACACCTGTCGATCTCACTATCGATCTCACTTTTTGGGACACCACGGGACACCCACCACGGGACACCGCGGGACACCGCCGGACGGACGGACGGAGGAGAAACATTTGCCTTGACTTCGCACTAATAACTGCGGACACCACGGGACACCACGGGACACCAGGGGACACCGCGGGACACCGCTAGGGCCACCGCCGGACGGACGGACGGAGGAGAAACATTTGTCTTGACTTCACCCAGCAACGGCGGGTTCATTTCTCTCGCGCGCCCACGCAACTTCGCCTCGCCCGCACGCGCGACACGAACGAAACGAAACAATTTCCCGGATGGGGTCTCCGTTCCACTGCGATCTCACCCCCCAACCTCCGATATGTACGTGTTTCCAAAACCCTCGCACATCTTATATAGGCATATTTGATTTACCATGCATCCGTCTTATTTGATTTATTGTGCATCCTTCCTCTTCCCTCTGCTCCCGTGCAAAAATCTCGCTGTTGTACGGCTTCTCATTCCTTCTGGCCCGCTGTTTCTGCAACGGACACCCCTGTTTTTTAGGCGTCTGCCCTCTGAATCTAAGAGAATGAGAAGGAGGAGAAGGCGGATGAGAAGGAGAAGGAGGAGGGGGGAGGAGGAGGAGGAGAAGGAGGAGGAGGAGAAGGAGGAGGAGGTGCAGGAGGAGGAGGAGGATTAAATTCCCATTCTGGCCCTCTTCGCATTCCGAATCCCTCCCCTTCTGGCCCACCTCGTGCTCCAATCTGTCCGCCTGTTCCTTCAACTTCCGTCCGCGGATGCTGGCTCTTTCCCTTTCTGGTTCCTTCTGATTCCGACTATCTTCCAGGACGAGGGGGAGGAAGAAGAGGAGGAGTAGGAGGAGCAAGAGGAGGAAGAGGAAGAGGAGGAGCAATGGGGGAGGAGGAATAGCCCCTTCCGATCCCAACTCCGTCACGTTCCAGGTCCTTGTCCGTGGGGCTCCACTGCTTCCTCCCTCCCTTCGGAAATTGGTTGCATTGCAATTCCGTTCCAAACCTGTTCCTCCCGCTACTCCCGTTCTGGCTTTCTGTTGTAGTCCCTCTTTCGGCTCCTTCCTATTCTGGCATCCTGCGGCTTCCTCCATTCCGGGCCCCTCCCAGTCTGGTTTTGCTACGTGTCTTCATCCCCTTCGGAAGTGGTACCTGATTTTTGTATGTTTCCGAACATGATGTTTCCGTTCCATTTCCGTTTTGCATGCGTCCAGTGAATTTGAACTGCTGTACTGAAATATGAACTGTCGCCTGTGGTCCTTGAGCTATTAATCTGGGGTGTCTAGATCGTTTGGCAGTAAGTAAAACCAATAATGAAAAAACAATATCGGATGGGCGACACCCCTTCCAATAAACGAACCCAGGTTTCAAGAAACGCGCCCAGGTCACAATAAGCGCGAGCCCTTGTTCAAGTAAGCCACAACAGTGGTCCCAATAAACCAAAACACTGGCAACATTCATCAGAAGACGGGCTTTAATAAGCAAGACCATCGAATCAACTAAATTCGCAACACATGAACAAGGTGCGGATACCAGCATCGAACCAATCGAACCAATCGAACTCCTTGACCAAATTCCCCTTACAAAAAATGCTGAGACTGGCGTCGGACAGTAACAACCACTTTCCCAGAACCAATGACTTTACAACCCCAGCCACTCAACGGAAACACTGCAGTGTATACATGGCATGGCATGGCACGAGAGATGCATGCGTCGACGCACTTTTCTAGCTGCCGTTCCTCTGGAGAGCAGGCCAATTCGCCCGCGGGCCAGCCAACCACTACGCCTTCTTCTGGTTGGTGTACCGCTTGCGCTGCGACGCATCCCAATACCTCGAGGAATCGGAGGAGGGGTAGGAGCTTACCGAGACCGCCTGGGGGCACCCAGACATCCGGCTGCTGCTCCAATCTTTTGGATGCGTGGGCCCCGAAGGTCCAGACCACTTCCCAGGGGCCGGCTTTCGTGAAAGGGCCCTGGTAAATACACACAAATAAACGGATTCCCCATATTTTCCAATATTTTCTGGGTTTCTGTCTTCCCCCCACTGCCCATATTTTCCAATATTTTCTGGGAAATCGACGATTAATTGTGTCTGTGTGTTTTTTCTCCTCCTGATTTCGTCCCGAGTTGTTTTTTGACGCTCCCGAGGTACGGCGAGGGCCCCCGCAGGCCGAAAACTGCCCAAATCCCGCCGCTCCAGTTTTTTTGCAGCGTCGGATCTCTGGGAACGATAGCAAGGGTGAGCGCGAACGGATGCAAACCCTGCCCGCCAACCCTGTTGCTCCTCCCCTTGCCTCCACTTCCCTCTGCCCATACTTACTTCCCTGACCTCTCCATCGCCCTGCCTCCTTCGCTTTTCTCGCCCGCGTCGGCCTCACTCCCACGCCGCTTTTCCCATCCGCCGCTACTTCTCGCGCCTCGACCGCTGCCTCTCGCCCTCGCACCCCACCCGCCCTCCCGACGTTTGCCTCCCCCCTCGCTCCATCCGCGCTCTCTCGTTACCCCCGTTGTTCTTCGCACCGTCGCCGCACACGCCCCTCTTCCTCCGTCCTGCCTCACTCACGCCCCCTTCTCTCCCAATGAAGGGGGCGCGAACGGGCGGCGGACCCGCTCTCTTCCCCGCTCCCTCCTCCTCCCCCCTGCCCTTCCCTCCTATCCCTCCTGAATCCTCCTTCCCCCCTGCGCTTCCCAGCACCGTCTGTCCTCCCTCCTTCTTTCACTCGGACATCCGCTGACACGTTTGTGCGCGTGCAATGCTAACAGCTGCTGTGTCACAACGCCCTTGTAGGCTTACGACGAACCCAGGGTCCTCTGCCTGCCTTCGCCCGTCCTGCTGATGGGACGATCAGGACATCCGACGCCGCAATTTTTTACAACGTAGCTCCCCAGACATCCGCCGATCTGTTTTTTTCAATCCGCGGCCCCAGAGATCACGAACCCCTTCCCCGGGACCAATTTTTTTTCCCAGATTCACTTTTGACGGTCCCGGGGCCCGATGACAAGCCCTGGAGGCCGCAATCCAGGAACACCCGCCGGATGGAAGACACCAAATCCTCGGATCTCTGGGCCCCCCGCTGGATCCATTCCCAGGGACCGGCTTGTCATCAAGCCCCGTGGCCCGCCACACCATCAAAACGTGCATCGAGGACGGGTGGTAAAGACGCAAGGCCCTTGGAGGCCGATGCTGGGATTTTTCCGGCGGCGGGCGACCCGTGAAAGCGGCAAAGCACGGGCCGCACAAGCAGGGACACAAGGGCACCCTAAGATGAAGGCGCGCGCCCTAGCCAGGCGCGTTGCCTGTACGGCCCCCTGGCCCGTCACAGGAGGGCCAAACGTTGGGTCGGGCGTGTCCTCCTACAGGCAGGCTGTGGAAGAAAAAAAACAAGAGGCAGAACATGGTCATACATTGCCAAACGTACTTGTTAGAGAAGTCGTCCCCAGACTTCTGTTGTTCCCGTCGTACTTACGGACCACATCCCAGAAATAATTTCGAGCGCCCCGAAAAGTGTCGAAACAGTGTCGGACGAGTGTCGCCCAGGGCCCGACACGTGAAAACCACTGAGTTTCCGGACTTTTTTGGAGGACTCCAAACTCTTTCTCGTGATCAAGGCTAAGGTAGGTTAGAAGATCACAACCCCAGACAATTTCTTACCATTTGTGAGTGCTCCTCCTGTGGAGGGACATGCCCGACTTGGAGCAAAACGCCCTCCGCCGCGACTCCTCCGCGGCTCGAGGGCTGTCCGGGCAGGCGGGGCCTGGCGGGAGAGCGCCTCCCCTCCGCGCCCCCTCCGGCCTCCTTCGGTCGGGGATCTTCTGACCCAGGTCAATCCAGAGCCGGGTCAGTCAGGCCTTGCAGAATCCTGCGAGATCCTTCACTCAAACCTGGGCCAACGCGAAGGATCGTGCAGGATCCTGCAGGATCCTGCGCCCAAGCCTGGGTCAATTCGACCCTGGCCTCTGCAGGATCCCGCAAGCTCCGGCGCTCTGGCTGGCCCCCGTTTGCGAGAGGAGGGAAAGACCGAGAAGACGACGACGGCGGCAAAGCCGAGAAGACCGTTTGCATTGACCCCCGTCTCAAGCCTCCCGACCCTTCGGAGGCACGCCATGAACTCCGGGTGCTTGTCCGCGCCGACCTCGCGGGGGGGGGGCGTGCCAGGCATCCGGCTGCTCCCCTTTCTTCATTGCGTGGGCCCCGTCCAGACCACTTCCCTTGAGGGCCTTTAGGCCTGGCTTTTCGTCCCGAGTCGCTTTTTGCTTGGTTGACCCACGAGGGGGTCCAGGTGAAACGGAGTGGTGCAATAGGTTTTGGGCAAATGTGTTGCTATGCACACATATATATACATGTGTATATATATATACATATATATATTTATATATACACTTTTATATATATATATATATAGATATTGCAACTTACCAAAATCCATTGCACCACCCCCTTGTCGTTGGACCCTCTTTTGGGTCAACTAGAAAGTTTGACGCTCCCGAGGCCCGGCGAGGGCCCCTGGAGGCCCAGAACTATCAAATTCCGCCGCTCCAACTTTTGGAGCGTCGGATCTTTCGGGGGGGCGTCCAACAGGGAGGGTCGCCAATCATGGCCAGCGGCATGTGCGCGGCCCAGGGGAGGGGGGGTCCAGGGACGTCACGAAATAAGACGCGGCGCCATGAAACCTGGGGAAATATCATGGCCCACGCCATGATATCCCCCCCCTAGTCATCACCCCCCTCTTTGCCGCCCCCGAGGGAAGGAGGAGGAGGAGGAGGAGGAGGAGGAGGAGGAAGAGGAGGAGGAGGAGGAGGAGGAGGAGGGAGGACGGACGGAGGGGGGGGCGGCCCGCGGGGCCGCCGGGGCTCGGCCGCCGCAGGCGGGGGGCGGCCCCGGCGCGGAGGGCCGGGCCCGGGGGTCACCGCGGTAGGGCCTCCGGTGCTCCGTCGCCCGCCTCCACTCTTCGAGTCCCGCCCTCTCCTGTTCTCCATTCCTCCATGCCCTCCTCCATTCCCTCCATGCTCCATTCCCTCCCTTTCCCCCCCCACTTGTCCTCCATTCCCTCCTCCATTCCCTCCACTTTCCCCCACCCCCTATCCTCCATGCCCTCCATCCTGCATGCCTCCCGTGCCTCCCTTCACTCCCTCCCCTCCCTCCTCATGGGCGTCCCCTCCCCTTCCCTCCCTCCATTCCTCCATTCCTTTTTTATTTATAAGGTAGCTCCTCCCAATCGCATCCCGAGGCCAGTCGGAGGAGCGGGCCGGGCGTTTCGCATGAGACTTTCTTGCCAATCGGTAGCTTCTCATATACGAGCCTGAAGCTCAACAGTAGGCAAGAATTTTACCGAATGAGGGCGGGTGGTTTTCAAAATGTGGCTCTCGCCCTGGCGCCGCGCACATTCGTTTCAAACACTTTCACGAGTTTCACGGATCGAGGGTGGTTCTTTTTCAACATGTGGCTCTCGCCCTAGCACCGCGCACAGTTGTGTTTGTAAACTGCAAGATATTCGTGGATTGAGGGCGGGCGGTTTTCAACATGTGGCACTCGCCTGAGCGCCACCCACATTCGTCTTAAACAAGTGCAAGAGCTTCGCGGATTGAGGACGGGTCCTTTTCAAAATGTGGCTATCGCCTCAGTGCCGCGCACGTTCGGTTTAACAGACCGCAGGAATTTCACGGGGTTGAGGGCGGCCCCTCTTCAACTTGTGGCTTTCGGCACAGCGTCGGGTTTCTCGTTTGATTTTAATACTTTAATTTGTATGCTTGCATGTATGTATGTATGTATGTATGTATATATATATATATATATATATCACAGCTCTTTTTCACTATCAGAACCTGCAAGCGTTCCGCGGAGAGAGGGCGGTTAATTCTCAAGCTGCGGTTCTCGCCTTCGCGCCGCTCACACTCGTCCCAATCATCAGCAAGGGTTAGAAAACGGAATATCATGGTTAACGTACCAGACATCGTGTTTTGGAGCGATCCAGAACAGTCAGGGCATAACAGCCACGTTGATTCGCGGTGTTGAAGTCCCAGGACTGGTGTTCTGGCGCGATGCAAAACCGTCCAAACGCAACAGCCAGACTGATTCGTTGCGTCGAACTCCCTCGGCACGTTTCAGGGTCGTCAAACGGCTGTCCCCAAACATGGCACTTCCCTCATGGAAATGAACCCTTGCAGGGGCATGCGACGAGGGACCTTGGAGGAAGGGTTTACTCCAACATCATTGATGAGTCTTGGGTTTGCAGTGGTCCCCTTCCTCCTCTTCCTCCTCCTCCTGTTTATCCTCCTCCCTCCTCCTCCTGTCAAACCGGCTCAGCGCCCCCCCCCGCCGCGTCACGTCGTCGTCGTCGTCGTCGTCGTCGTTCACGTCGTCGTCGTCGTCGTCGTCGTCGTCGTCGTCGTTCGCGTCGTCTTCGTCGTCGTCGTCGTCGTCGTCGTCGTCGTCGTCGCTTCCTCGCCTTCTTCTTTCCCCTCCTCCTGTTCTTCGCGCGTGCGCGGCGGGTTTTTCGCGCCCCTGCGCGAGCCGCCCCTTCGGGCAGGGGGCGCCTCTCCGCGCAGCCCTCAGGCCCCCCCCCTCTCTCCTCCCCAAGCCCTGGGCGAGGCGCGGCCGATGCGCCCCCTCCTCCTCCCCCCCCCTTTCCAAACACCCCCCCCCCCAAAAGGGCCCTGGGCGGGGCGCCTCTTCACGCAACCCTCAGGTCCCTGGGCGACGTGCGCGGCCCACGCGGACCCCGCGTGGGCGGCGCACACCAGGAACGTGGCGCGGGGGAGCGGCCTCCTAAGACGGCGGGGGGCTTCGCAGAAAACAAATGGGCACTCTTGGTTGGGAAACGCCCTGATGCTCAGGGGAACGGTTCCCTTGAAGCTGGGGGGGGTCGATAGGGCTTCCCGCCTTCTTGGACCCCCCCCGCCTTCCCAGAAGGCCTCCACCCTCGCGCGGCCCCCATCGGCGTGGCGTCGATGGCCTTCGCAGAAGGCGCAAACCAAACGAGCACTGGCTGTGGCCCACCATTATCCAAAACATCTGTCCGAGATCGGCGCGTTTTTTTCGACCTCGTCCGATTGCTCGCCCCCCCTGGCCGAGGCCCACAGAAAACGTCCACGTCGCGACGGAATGCCAGATGCCCCCCACCCCCTCGATGTTCGTGGAATCCGACGATACAAGTGTTCGAATTATCGGATGTGCGCGCTCAGGACACGGAACACACCGGCGAAAACCTGGCACCAGCGAGAGGAGGAAGAGCACGAAGGGAAATGGGGGATGGAAGGCGCCTCGATGCAGTCAGACGGCGTCCTACTCAACCCGCAGTGGAGGGGAGGGGGAGGGGGAGGGGGAGGGGGAGAGGGAGGGGGAGGAGGAGGAGGAGGAGGAGGAGGAGGAGGAGGAGGAGGAGGAGGAGGAGGAGGAGGAGGAGGAGGAGAGCAGCGGCAGGGCGTCGCGTCGGCCAGGCCAACTAGACGCAGCAAGGGCGGCCAGGGGGCCGCGGCCTCAGGGGAGGCCAGTGAGGAAGCCGATCACGTCGAGCGCGAAGGGCGGCGCTCGGGGCCAGGCCGCCCCGCTGCGCCGAGCGGCGAGCCGCTGGGGCCAGGGCGCCCCGCAGCGGCTGGCCGAGCGAGGAGAGGCCGAAGGTCAGCCACTCCGCCGTCGCCTCCTGCGGCCAGCGGTCCATGACCCCGACGACGGCCTGAGCGGGCCAATGGGCGGAGGCTGCCCTGCCCGCTGCAGCTCGGCCAGCCACGACCGCAGGCACACGTAGTCGTAGCGCCTCAAGCAGTCCGACACGATCCGCTGCGACCGCGTCAGCGTGCTGCGCCACCTGTAGTAGGCCCGCCTTGCAGGCATGCCGGTACCCCAGGCGCGCTCGCAGATCTCCTCGGCCATCTCCACGGCAGTCACCCCCCGCGCCCGCAGCCTGGTGGCGAAGCGCGGCTGGGACAAGAACTGCGTGACGTAGCCGACGCAGTGGTCCATCCACTCGCTGTAGCACTCCATCGTCTCGCCGACCTCTGGTGCTTGGGTCCAATACCTCGCCCAGCCAGCGACCTGCCGCTCGAGCCAGGGCGCGACACTGCGCCTTGGCTGCACTGGCTCAGGTCGAGCCTCCGCAGCGCTGCCAGCGGACGGGGCAGGGCCGCTGCCAGTGCCCAGGGCGGGGCCGCACTCAGGACTGCACTTTGCAGGTCCCCTGCCAACCCTGGCACTGGCCGTACCCTTGCCGACGGGGTCCACGTCGCATCCTGGGCTCAGGGCGGGGCCGCACTCACGAACGCACAATGCAGGTCCCCTGCCACCCCTGGCCCAGGCCGTACCCCGTCGCCGACCAGGGTGGGTGCTGGTGCTCAGGGCGGGGCCGCACTCAGGACCGCACAATGCAGGTCCCCTGCCACCCCTGGCACCAGCCGTAGCCGCACTTGAGCCCATCGCCCCAGGAGCCCTCGGCAGCTGCACCTGGCCGTCCGCGCTCAGAGCCGCTCCCAGCGGGCCACTGCCAGTGCCCAGGGCGGGGCCGCACTCAGGACCGCACATTGCAGGTCCCCTGCCAACCCTGGCACTGGCCGTATCATTGCCGTCGAGGACCTTCCCGCATCCTGGGCTCAGGGCGAGGCCGCACTCACGAAAGCACATTGCAGGTCCCCTGCCACCCCTGGCCCAGGCCGTAGCACCACGGCGAGCACGGTCAGCCAGTCTGCCGTCGCCGTCGGTGCCCGAGCTGGGGCTGCACGCCTCCCCAGAAGACGGCGGCGGCTGCCCCTGGTCCTCCGCGTGCTGAGCCGCCCCCAGGGGGCGGCTGCCAGTGCCCAGGGCGGGGCCGCACTCAGGACTGCACTTTGCAGGTCCCCTGCCAACCCTGGCACTGGCCGTACCCTTGCCGTCGGGGTCCTCGTCGCATCCTGGGCTCAGGGCGGGGCCGCACTCACGACCGCACATTGCAGGTCCCCTGCCACCCCTGGCCCAGGCCGTAGTATTGCGCCGAACACTGCTGGCCTGGCTGCCGTCGCCGTCGGAGCCCGTGCTGGGGCCGCTCAAAGGGCCGCGGCTCGCAGTCCTCCTGCCAGCCTCGTCGCAGCCCATGCCTGGCTGCGACCACTTCGGGTTGTCAAGCCTGCCATCACTCAGGGCGGGGCCGCACTCAGGACCAGACTT